GGAACACTACCTTGCTATTTTTATTTATAAATCGTGCATTTTAATTTGAACCTGAGTCTACAATATCTCAGCGGCACCCATAAAGACGGCAGTGGAAGTACCCTCCGGAACACTACCTTGCTATTTTTATTTATAAATCGTGCATTTTAATTTGAACCTGAGTCTACAATATCTCAGCGGCACCCATAAAGACGGCAGTGGAAGTACCCTCCGGAACACTACCTTGCTATTTTTATTTATAAATCGTGCATTTTAATTTGAACCTGAGTCTACAATATCTCAGCGGCACCCATAAAGACGGCAGTGGAAGTACCCTCCGGAACACTACCTTGCTATTTTTATTTATAAATCGTGCATTTTAATTTGAACCTGAGTCTACAATATCTCAGCGGCACCCATAAAGACGGCAGTGGAAGTACCCTCCGGAACACTACCTTGCTATTTTTATTTATAAATCGTGCATTTTAATTTGAACCTGAGTCTACAATATCTCAGCGGCACCCATAAAGACGGCAGTGGAAGTACCCTCCGGAACACTACCTTGCTATTTTTATTTATAAATCGTGCATTTTAATTTGAACCTGAGTCTACAATATCTCAGCGGCACCCATAAAGACGGCTGTGGAAGTACCCTCCGGAACACTACCTTGCTATTTTTATTTATAAATCGTGCATTTTAATTTGAAGCTGAGTCTACAATATCTCAGCGGCACCCATAAAGACGGCAGTGGAAGTACCCTCCGGAACACTACCTTGCTATTTTTATTTATAAATCGTGCATTTTAATTTGAACCTGAGTCTACAATATCTCAGCGGCACCCACAAAGACGGCTGTGGAAGTACCCTCCGGAACACTACCTTGCTATTTTTATTTATAAATCGTGCATTTTAATTTGAAGCTGAGTCTACAATATCTCAGCGGCACCCATAAAGACGGCAGTGGAAGTACCCTCGGAACACTACCTTGCTATTTTTATTTATAAATCGTGCATTTTAATTTGAACCTGAGTCTACAATATCTCAGCGGCACCCATAAAGACGGCAGTGGAAGTACCCTCCGGAACACTACCTTGCTATTTTTATTTATAAATCGTGCATTTTAATTTGAACCTGAGTCTACAATGTCTCAGCGGCACCCATAAAGACGGCAGTGGAAGTACCCTCCGGAACACTACCTTGCTATTTTTATTTATAAATCGTGCATTTTAATTTGAACCTGAGTCTACAATATCTCAGCGGCACCCATAAAGACGGCAGTGGAAGTACCCTCCGGAACACCTACCTCTTGCTATTTTTATTTATAAATCGTGCATTTTAATTTGAACCTGAGTCTACAATATCTCAGCGGCACCCATAAAGACGGCAGTGGAAGTACCCTCTGACCACTACCTTGCTATTTTTATTTATAAATCGTGCATTTTAATTTGAACCTGAGTCTACAATATCTCAGCGGCACCCATAAAGACGGCAGTGGAAGTACCCTCCGGAACACTACCTTGCTATTTTTATTTATAAATCGTGCATTTTAATTTGAACCTGAGTCTACAATATCTCAGCGGCACCCATAAAGACGGCAGTGGAAGTACCCTCCGGAACACTACCTTGCTATTTTTATTTATAAATCGTGCATTTTAATTTGAACCTGAGTCTACAATATCTCAGCGGCACCCATAAAGACGGCAGTGGAAGTACCCTCCGGAACACTACCTTGCTATTTTTATTTATAAATCGTGCATTTTAATTTGAACCTGAGTCTACAATATCTCAGCGGCACCCACAAAGACGGCAGTGGAAGTACCCTCCGGAACACTACCTTGCTATTTTTATTTATAAATCGTGCATTTTAATTTGAACCTGAGTCTACAATATCTCAGCGGCACCCATAAAGACGGCAGTGGAAGTACCCTCCGGAACACTACCTTGCTATTTTTATTTATAAATCGTGCACTTTAATTTGAACCTGAGTCTACAATATCTCAGCGGCACCCATAAAGACGGCAGTGGAAGTACCCTCCGGAACACTACCTTGCTATTTTTATTTATAAATCGTGCATTTTAATTTGAACCTGAGTCTACAATATCTCAGCGGCACCCATAAAGACGGCAGTGGAAGTACCCTCCGGAACACTACCTTGCTATTTTTATTTATAAATCGTGCATTTTAATTTGAACCTGAGTCTACAATGTCTCAGCGGCACCCATAAAGACGGCAGTGGAAGTACCCTCCGGAACACTACCTTGCTATTTTTATTTATAAATCGTGCATTTTAATTTGAACCTGAGTCTACAATACCTCAGCGGCACCCATAAAGACGGCAGTGGAAGTACCCTCCGGAACACTACCTTGCTATTTTTATTTATAAATCGTGCATTTTAATTTGAACCTGAGTCTACAATATCTCAGCGGCACCCATAAAGACGGCAGTGGAAGTACCCTCCGGAACACTACCTTGCTATTTTTATTTATAAATCGTGCATTTTAATTTGAACCTGAGTCTACAATGTCTCAGCGGCACCCATAAAGACGGCAGTGGAAGTACCCTCCGGAACACTACCTTGCTATTTTTATTTATAAATCGTGCATTTTAATTTGAACCTGAGTCTACAATACCTCAGCGGCACCCATAAAGACGGCAGTGGAAGTACCCTCCGGAACACTACCTTGCTATTTTTATTTATAAATCGTGCATTTTAATTTGAACCTGAGTCTACAATATCTCAGCGGCACCCATAAAGACGGCAGTGGAAGTACCCTCCGGAACACTACCTTGCTATTTTTATTTATAAATCGTGCATTTTAATTTGAACCTGAGTCTACAATATCTCAGCGGCACCCATAAAGACGGCAGTGGAAGTACCCTCCGGAACACTACCTTGCTATTTTTATTTATAAATCGTGCATTTTAATTTGAACCTGAGTCTACAATGTCTCAGCGGCACCCATAAAGACGGCAGTGGAAGTACCCTCCGGAACACTACCTTACTATTTTTATTTATAAATCGTGCATTTTAATATGAACCTGAGTCTACAATATCTCAGCGGCACTCATAAAGACGGCAGTGGAAGTACCCTCCGGAACACTACCTTGAAACTATTTTTATTTATAAATCGTGCATTTTAATTTGAACCTGAGTCTACAATATCTCAGCGGCACTCACAAAGACGGCAGTGGAAGTACCCTCCGGAACACTACCTTGCTATTTTTATTTATAAATCGTGCATTTTAATTTGAACCTGAGTCTACAATATCTCAGCTGCACCCACAAAGACGGCAGTGGAAGTACCCTCCGGAACCTATAGGTGTAGGACGTGAGCGACTCTCAAAGTATCTTCGACAACATTTACTCCGAACAGTTTCGCCCGTCCGGCACAATATTCCCAACGTTTCGAGCACTTTACAGCAACCATAGTCACGGGGTGACTGACCACTGTCACTAAGGTGTTCGACGTCCGAATGTGTTTCACGGCTACCTCCAGATTAAAATTATTAATTTTTGTTCCAATATACGCAATATGAACTTATAGTATCTTGAAGTCTTGCAGTTGTATGCTTGGGTAAGGATTTCATTTTCCCAAAGGATCCTAAGTAGATGGTAGCCCGCCCAGCCATCTTCTCTATTGAAATTTGAATGTTTCTTGATTTAAATAGCCTCGCGAATCATCCTTGAAAGGGATCGGTATTCCTTAGCGAGGATTTGTGGTCTATCAAATCTGATGTAGTAACGGGAGCGATCCTGTACGTGTTCATAAACTGCAGATTTCCCGGAGCGTTGATTCTTCACATAAGCTACGTGATCCTTAACGCGGGTTTTTATTGATCCTTTTGTTTATCCTATGTAAGAGGGACCACATTCACAATCAAGCATGTACACTTCTGCTTCTTGCAGAGGGACTTGACTAAATTTTACAGGTCAGGAGGATTTTGAGGAGGGACTTGACTAATGGTAAAAACTGACTAATCTTCTTCGGCGGCTTGAAGTAAGTTTTAATGGAAGCACGCTTCAAAATGTAGCCAATCTTTTCAGTGACACCTCTGACATATGGCCGTTCAGCAGGCACACGTTCGACTGTCACCGGCTTCGTTCACTGTGATTGGATCAAAAGTAGCCCATAAGTTGCCCCGAGTCCCTAAATGCTTATACACAAAGTTACATGGAAATCTATTTGATACATTTTTCGTAAATCGTGAATACTCAGACAGACAGATAGACAGCCAAAAATTCTAAAAACTACCAATTTTGCTTCTGTTCCCCCGTTATTTAGTCCCTGGGTTTGTTTTTCCCAGAAAATATTAGAATTACAATACGATACAGACACGACTTTTCTACCGATTTATTATACTTACGTATAGATTTACCTACAAACAGTAATTGTCGTAAATGACATTATAACTGCGTGGAATTTAAAACGTGCCAGCCGTCGACCAAGCTGTCGACCGCGCCCGCGCCCGCGTCCTAGCGATTCTCAGCTGTGACACAGTTTTTGTTCAGATTACTGATCAAGTAGTATATATAGAAATATTTGATGGTACTGGAAGAAACCTTTATCAGTGCATCGTAGCAAAAACTCGTCTGCAAATAATTCTACAAGCCTTGAGTTTCGACGATTCTAATTAAAGAACTGAGTGAAGACTGAACGATTCAGCGGCGCCAATTTCTGATTTGTTGGAAAATTTCATGAATAATGCCGAGATGTATATAATTATGAGATGATTATGCCATTTCCGAATTATGTCGATATTTATAGTCGTTCGTTCTATTTCGGTCTGCATTTCGGGTGATTCAGATTTGAGGCGGCCGGGAATCGGTGCAGGCTCACATAAAGGCGATGGTGATACGGTTGCCCTTATCTTCCGTTTTTTTTTTAAATCCTGGTTTTGTTTTTAATTGTGTATTTATCTATATTTTAGCCATTTTAAGTATCAATCCATTCATAATATTAAATAAAAGTCCACTGTTGGTGATCTCCCCAAAGATTGCTTTTATCTTAGTTCCCACGCTTGGCAGGCGGATGGCCATCGATTTTAAGTATGTTTATACATTATTGTACCTTATTATTATTTATGAATACTAACCAGGCGAAAACACACTAAAATACAGTCAGATTAATAGACTAACTTCTTATTACAGGCGATGAAATAGTGCGACCATGTGCCTTGATGGATTTGGCTTGTATTAGACGAAACCTTGCCATAAACTCGGCTTGCAACCCAAACGTGGTGGGGAGTGTGCCAGCTCAGTACACCGTGCAGTTGTTGAGGTCTTACGCACCATATTTCAACTCCACCTACGAAGACAATAACCTTATAATTAGGAACCATAACAGATGCAGAGTGTCTGCGTTTATGTAAGTGTGTTATATAACACATTTCTACTTCTTGACAACACACCTTCCGGGTCCAATTACGAATCTAAACCATCCAGGGACCCATTCAAACAAAAATATATATATATATATATATATATATATATATATATATATATGTGTAGACAAGAAGACAAAATTGGCAAGTGATCTCCACAATCCACCTGATGGTGAATTGCTATAAACGCCCATGAACATTTACCATTAAACCATCACATCACATCACAGATTATATTAAAACTGGCTCTCCCGTACCTACATTTGTGCGCTGATGGTTAGCCGAAGATGTAGGTAATAAAATGGTTCCAATCCACACGGATTTCTATAGGCAGCAAAGAGCTAGCAACCTAAATTTCTTTACACCATTCATAAAAAGTCTTGACTTGGTAAGCGGTATAGAATATGGTAGACAAAGGAGTACACTAATGGCAAGTGGATAGATGATGTGGCCCATAAACATTTATACCAATCCATGTTTCAAAATAAAAATGCAGCTGCGTTGTTACCCCTGAGTACCAAGTTGTAATGCCTCGTATTCAGTAAAAAGACTCTCCGGTTCTCCACACTCACCATACAAAACATAGCAGCATTAACCTGCTATTTTACGCTGGTATTCTGTGAGAGCCTAGTCCTTCCCTAATCGAGCCGACCCATTCGCGCTATAACTATATAGATGCAGTATGGCTCCACCTGTACAAATGTTTTCTTAAACCGTCCTAAAACCGTATAGCAGTTCGAATTTGTGGAATATTGACAACGAAAGATCGTGTAGTTGCGGTTTAAGAATATTCAATACCCCATAACGTCCTATGAGTCGCGTAAGAGGCGATTGAGAGAAACTCAAACAGGAGTTGGGCTGTAACGCCTTCCTAATAACATTTCTAAAATTTGAAAAAAAAAAAAAAAACTGCGCTTGCCAAAACGCCTGTCAAGCGTGGCACCTATGACAAAAGCTCCCCTTTCAGGTAAATCCATGGGGAGGCCTGTGTTCTGTAATGAGGAAAGGTGTCAATGAAGCAGGCGTGCTACTTATTCTAGATCTTTAATTATACTCCTCTTTTTATTAACATACTCTTATATACTCTAATAGACAAAAAACAATAGAAAGGGGGAATGATTACATCTGTTTTTTTTTACAAACTTATAAAAAGTTACCTATATCTAAAAATAATATAAATTATTAAAATCTATATAAGTATATTCTATTGATTTTAAGAATTGATATGATGCATATACATAATATGTTCAAAGTCGCAAACATGTAGTGTAACTGTATAGGCATTCATATTTTAAAATACCCGTTGGTTATGCGGAAAAAACAAGTACTCTCGCATTGAGAAACGCACAGTTGAAAACAGGACATTTAATACATAACTTTTTTTGAAGTAAACAACAACATAAAAAATTCTTAAATTTATTAATTTAAGAATTTTTTATGTTGTTGTTTTAAATGGACCTAAAAATCACCAGGTGCAAAGTTATCTCTTAATTTTAACATTTTAAACATTTTTGTGGGTGATGCTCGCTAGAATACAACTGTTTTCTTCCTCTTTAAATTAATATACCGTATCTTAAAATCTACATTTTACTTTACTAATTGATAAATTAATTATCTTCACAGTTTAATTGTTAAATTTTAAGTCAACTTGTGTAAAATTTAATTATTATTATGGCCTCTTTTTGTATTTGTCATCAATTTTTTTCGTTTTTATAAATATCAAGTTTTCTTGTCGCGTCCGGTAACGGTGTGATTGCCGTTAAATTATAATTATCTTTTATATCAATTTTCACCGCCTGGCATGTGATGTTTAGGTACCTATTGTCGTGGGGACCACACGTAATTACAGTTCAGCAGTAGACTTCTATGAGCTGTAATACCGAATAAATGGATATATGGGGAAGGGAAGAGTAAAATTGAATAATGTCATCACTGCACGAACTCATCACTCATGTAGATAACATAGGGTGTAACTTTTCGGTAGTGTATATTTGCACTTGATGTGCGAGAGATCTGTTTTAATATACAAAGCACGGTCAGAGACATCTTTCCGGGCTGATCACATTCTGTAATTGATGACGAGATGTCTTGATTTCAGTTTCAATCTGTCACGTCAATCAGCCGTGCTGACGCTAGACTGTCCTCAATTGGAATTCGAATCGAACCGCACTGTGATCCAGCACGCCTCGTATCAGGAAGACAAGTATTATAGCTACAGATATAAAGGAACATATCGTAAGTAAATTTTATAAAAATTTATAATTTGTATGAACCTGCGCCAAAAAAATGATCAGTTAATATTTATAGTTGTAGCGCTTTTTTATAAAATAAGGGTGACGAACGACCACTTGATGGTTAGTGGATGCTGTAGCCCATAGACATCTACATCACCCAACATCATCACCCCGGATGGAGTGCCTCGTTTTCAATAAAAAGGGTCTCCGGTTCTCTACGCTCACCATTGAAACACAGCAGCATTTATTTTATTATTAATAATATTACACGTTAGTATTCTGGGAGAGCGTGGTCCTTGCCCGGTTGAGCCGACCCGTTCGTGCTACAATCATAATATAGCTGTAGCATGGCTCTACCACATATATTAATATTCTTGATCAGTCTTCGTCTATTGTTGAACGTGAACCTCTTTCTATGTAAAAAGATTTACCTTAAACGCCATGCATTTTATAAGGCTCGGCAGTCACAGTAGTCTAGTACTCTAGCACCTTCGTCGCTATTCTTAGCCGCCGGTCTAGGTATTTTGTGAATGACCTAAACGAGACGGTTTGAGGCTGCGAGCAAGAAAATAGCGACGGTTGAGCGATGTCCTCAGCGGCGCGGCGCGATGCGACAGCATAGTTAAACCCCGGCAAAACATGTTGACCAAGCCTCAGCCAACGCGAGCGTAGGCAAATTGATACAAGGCGAGTGCTACAGTCTACACGTTAGTCAAGTTCGAAAGAGCCTAATCCATACTATTATTTATGGATTTAGATTATAATGTGCGAGTGAAAGGGACGAATAGCATGACTATTTTGGAATGTTTTTTTATTTGCGCACGTATAGTCTAAACTTTAGACTATACGTGCGCAAATAAAAAGACTAGACTCTAAAGGGTACTAATTTTTGAAGAATTTGCGACTAACTTCATACAAAGATGACGCCAGAAGCCTAATCAATTCTGTATGACAAAGGTTGAACGACGAGTGCTTTTCATAATTATACTATCTCTCTTAACATTATTAATTTTCTTCACATTTAATTATCATTATCAGTTGCAATAAACCTGTAATTCTGAAACTTACAGCGTTGGTTCGCTTGACCACATACCTGCGCTACAACAACGGGCTGAATTTGTGTACGACGTTCACTTTTGCTGATGTCGCCGCTCTGCCAACGTTCGTCATCACTCCCAATGGTAAACATTTACATAAAGCAGCTTCGTATTAATACCTATATATTAGATCAAGAAATTAGTTCGATTCGTGTTAAAAACTTTTACTCAGGTAGGAAAGTAGGTATAAAATTAGATTGTAAAGTTTATCAACAGGCAATTAAGCAGCCGCAATCTTTAGCATCAAGTTCCCTTTAAAACTACGGATAAGTAGGTAGTTCCCTTTTAAATTTAAAAAAAGGTAGTGGGGACAGCACGTAAAAATGGCGTAGTCACGGTAGTCTACGTGATAAGTAATTATATTAGTACAAGTCATATTGACGAAAAAAGAAACGGGTACTCTCACATTTTGTTCTTCGTCTCAAGGATTATATATATAATCTTAGATTAGATACACATATACATTAACTCGTTTACTAGTTACTATGGGAGAGTTCCGCACCTACCTACATCGCGAGTGATAAATTTATCACATCTTATTGCAAACGGGCAGTTAAGGAAAAATAATCGCGAAGTGTTTCACTATTGAGGTAATTGAGCATAATTCTTAGGTCCTCAAGCGATTCTACCATAATAACTATATCGTCAGCAAATCGAAGCTGAGTGATGTACTCGCCATTGGTGTTAATACCGTATCCTTTCCAGTTCAGTAGCTTGAAAACTTTTGCAGTACTGGCCATTTTAAATCAAAATAATTTTTGTTTGGCTAAGAATTCTAACTTCAAATTAATTTTATTTTAAAAATATCTCTTTAGTCATTATGGATACGTTAAAATTCAAGTAATTATGGAATACGAGTACCGTCGTGGCAGCAACGCGGCAGAAGCGGCACGCAACAGCAACGACGTTTACGGAGCGAATACAATAAACGAACGAACCACCTGTTATTGGTTTACTCGCTTCCGTTCTGGAAATTTCGATCTGAAAAATGAACCTCGTGGTCGTCCGAAAACTTTGGTTGACAATCGCTAGCGCTCAACAAGTTAGTAGGGTCCTGGTTCAGCATCTAAACAATGCCCTAAACGAAAATTTACACCTAGAAAAGTGACCGTTTGGTGGTCTAGCGCCATTGATGAATCACAGCTTTTTACCAAACGAGATGAGCATTATTACAGATGTCTACTGTTCACAGTACACATCTGCGATAGTGTCATCTATCATTAGAGAGAAGCTCTAGAGAAAAGAATAGAGAAGCTCTCACGCGTCCACATATATACCTATATATATCATCATCATCATTACAGCCCTTCACAAGTCCACTGCTGAACATAGGCCTCCCCCAAGTAATGCGACAAAGCACGGTCCTGAGCCACCTGCATCCATCGACTTCCTGCATGTCTTACCAGGTCGTCACTCCATCTAGTGGGGGGTCGCCCTACACTACGCTTACCGGTACGAGGCTGCCACTCGAGAACCTTTCTCATAGTCCACATACGCCAGGCAAAGTGGCAGATTGTATTCTTCGGTCTTCTGTACAATCCGCCGCAGGATATGTATGTGGTCTCGGCGCGGCTCAGAAGGGAAATCGGTCTGTAGTTCTTCAAGAGAGCGTTGTCGCCTTTCTTAAAGAACAAGACCACCGCACTTCTGCTCCACGCCTCCGGAGTAGTGCCACAATGGAGGATGGAATTGAAGAGCTTCTGAAGGACTTCAAGTACCGGTGTTCTACCCGCTTTCAGAAGCTCCGCTGTAATTCCATCCTCGCCTGGGGCCCTGCCGTTTTTAGGTGCTGGAGAGCGATTCTAATCTCGCTCAGACTAACGTCCGGGATATCATCGGAATAGTGTCGGGTAAGAATTGCTCTTGAATTGTTATTCACACTTGCGTGTGTCTCCAACGACGATGTGTACAGCTGCCCATAGAACCTCTCATTCTCACTCAAAATCTCAGGTGTCTCGGAAACGATGCTGCCACACTCAGTCTTCAGCTTTGAAAGTTGGCTCTTTCCGGCAGACAGATCTCTGGCAAAGACTTTGGAGCCCTGGTTCCGCTCGATCGCTTCTTTAATACGAGCAGTATTAAAGTTGCGTAAGTCTCGCCGCATGCATTTGGAGATCTGTCTGTTCAGTTGCTTGTATGCTCTCAAATCTGTTGACGATTGCAGCTTCATCTCCCGTCTAACAGCCATGAGATTAAGAGTGTGATCGGAGAGTTTTTGTGTTCTTCTGCGGCGGGTCTTGCAGAACTTAGCTCCGACCGCATGGACAGTTTCCACGAGCTTGTCATTCATATCGTCCACTGCATTGCAATCTTCTAGGCACTGAAAGCGGTTACGTAACTCGAGTTGAAATGTTTCGGGATTCTGGATTAGAGTACGAGGGGGACGGAGCGTTGACTTCATTAGACGAGATCTCTCCAACTTAACGTTTAGGTTCAGTGTGCCTCTAACCATTCGGTGATCGCTGCCGGTTTTCACCCTTGCGATCACTGAGACATTACTGAACAGTTGGCGTCTGGTCGTCATAATGAAGTCAATCTCATTTTTTGTCGAACCGTCGGGGCTCGACCAGGTCCACTTCCTGTGAGGCCGCTTCTGGAAGAAAGAGTTCATCATAAAGAGTCGCTCTTACTCCATAAAGGCAGCCAGCTGCTGGCCCCTACGGTTCCGTTGCCCTAATCCAAATTTCCCTAACTTCAGCTCACCGCCTTCTCTTGTGCCTAGTTTTGCGTTGAAGTCTCCCATCAACACCGTGTAGTGGGTTTTGGAGGAATGCATGACTCTAGAAATATCCTCATACATTTCCTCCACCTCCTCATCGGGATGTGCCGAGGTTGGTGCGTAGACCTGTATGACCTTCAGCGAATACCGTTTGGTGATTCTGAGTATCAGGTACGCGACCCTCATCGACACACTCCCAATCTTTACAACGTTGTTGACGAGAGACTTGTGGACGATAAATCCGACACCTCCTTGGGACAGATGGTCGCCTTCCCGGTGGTAGAACGGTGGTAAAGTTGCCGGACTCGAGGATTGCCGTATCCTCCCCCTCTCTTCGGACCTCAGATAATCCAATAATATGCCAGCGCAACTTGTCTACCTCTTCTTCCAGCTCCAGTATCTTCTCGTCAGTCCTCAGTGTGCGTGCGTTATACGTTGCCAGGCCGAGTCGTCGTAGGTGGCAACCGAACCTCCACCGGAGATTCTTAGCACCCCCTGCCCCGCCGTTACCATGGTCGCCACCGTAGCCAGGAATAGCAGGGCCGCCGGGGACTGGGGGCCGTTTATTTGCGTCGTTGCTCATGGGGGGATATTTGCCATAGTTGCCACGCTTGGCGAGTGGGTTGTCAACCGCAGTTTTTTATTATGTTATTGTTGTTATTAGGAAGATGCTGCTGCCCATCTCCTTTCTGTGTCCCTCTGTCGCCTCTTACGACACCCACGGGAAGATATGGGGTAGTGGATATTCTCAACCGCCACTACACGGCACTATAATATATATATATATATATATATATATATATATATATATATATATATATATATATATATATATATTAGGGAAAAAATTCAATACCCGAGGGGTAGCACAAAATGCCTTTGAAGAATTTTTTGACTCCCGCCCAGATGATTTCTTCAAGAAGGGAATCAATAAACACAATTGCGTTGGCAAAGATGCATCGATTGTATAGGTGATTACTCTACCTTTCCATTAAGTCCAAAGCTGCTGGGTGGCATTTTGCAACACCAGCCCATATATGGCAGCAATACTCCATGCACGACCGGACTTGAGCTTTATATAAAGTAAGCGGCTGTCCCATCGTGAAGTATCGTCGCACCTTTGCAAGGACTCCTAGCTTCCTTGCAGCTGCTTTGGCCTTGGACTCCATAAACCTCCCGAAGTTCAGATTTGAGGATATCTCAACCCTCAACAACTGGAGGCGGTTGGTGTATTCCAGTGACACATTCCGGAAAGAATAAATTCCAAGGTGTGCCGTCTCTGGCTTTTTGCAGTAAGGAGACACCCTTGTGTTTGGAGGCGTTATATTTCACGATTGACATCGCCCCACTCAGTGACTGCCTGTAGTGTGAGATTCGCAGGCTCTACCATAGCTTTTTTTTCGGACTGGATTTGATACCGACTGGCCCGAGGACTTGGTTGGTATCTCTCCACTACTGTGCTGTCTTTTGCGTACCCATAGATACCGGGTATAAGCAAATTATTAATATGAAACATGAAGAGACTTGCGGAGAGAACCGACTCGGTTCTATCCGCAACTCTCGGTTCTAACGACTAATGCCGGTATTCCTCAGGGCTCGGTTGAACCGAGCCCTGAGGAATACCGGCTTTAGTCGCTACAGGATCGGATGAACAGCCATCGACGACCACCCGGAGATACCGTTCACTCAGTCCTTTTACCCAGTCAATCAGATCACTATATACCTAAAATAATACGAAATACCTAAAATGATTTCAGAAATATTTTTTAACTTCTTAGATATGCAAATTTCCTCCCGATGTTTTCCTTCACCACCCAGAACTTGGTAAATCGAAACTTCAAATTGAAATTTCAATTTGAGTGGTGTCGGCGTGGTATATTCGTTTGGATCGGTTTGATTACCGGCTTTTACAAATGACTTTTAGGAGTCTATTAATGCAGCTATACTCAAAGTTAAAATAAAAATATACCTGTGTTTAAATTTGCTCATGTGAGCTATGAAATCAGTATGAAACAAAAAATAGGTCTCTGATAATATGATAGCGATCTTAATATATGACAAACTGTTATAAAAGTTTGATTAAAAGTAAAAAAGTAAAGAAGCAGCTTACATACGTCTTCCGACCGTGGACCGGGCTCCTTAGTACCCATAGTGTGAAATAGCGATTTTACATGTTCACGCAACTTTTTTAAAACTACTCAGACATCAAGATTTTCCCGAGAAGTTATTCTTCACTGAGCACGTGGAAAATACGCAAAAAAATCGTTACAAGTTTCATTGTTCCTCGTGGGAATCGTACACTGTTTCCGTGCTATGAAATCTTACGGCGAGCTACACAGCATTTGCTTAAATAATGCTTATAAAAGCTGAGAAGAAGCTTTTGCACGATTATTTAACGTATTTACCTAATAATTAGTCATTCAATGGTAACCCAAACTATTCCATCAATTCGAGATAAAAATCTCACAGTGCACTTAATTTCCAATTACGTATATCGGACTTGATACAAAAATAAATTGGTGAAATATTGCTATGCCGATAGACATACAACATATTCAACTAAAAACCTTCTCCTCTAATCATAGTTATGTTAGCCATTTTGCTGAAATTGACAATTATTATAAATCATTCGGACAGCGGCCATTAGTCTCGATATTTAAAGTCCGACTGTTTTTGATACTGCAGCAGTAAGTTATTATAGAACTGTATTTAATTTATTCAGCTACTTTTTATTAATTTATTTAGCAGTACGTAGATGGTGGTTTTATTAGATTAAAACTATGAAAAACAAAACTGTACCCTAAATAAAAGTTTTGTAATAATTGCAGTTTTTATCAGTTTTATTTATAGATAAAATACTAATACATTCTAAAACTTTTTATAAAATACAAAATTAAACTTTAACACATCACAGATTTTATGATTTTCGATAAATGTCACTATTATCTCTTTAAGTAGTAATTACTTACTAAAAAAATATTAATTAATACTGAACCAACGTTACCAACGTACCAACGTTACGTACGTAAGCAACGTTAGAATTTTCAAAATTTTAATTATTTAAACATATAAATAAGGTACGTGAGGGTGATATGGTCGCCTTAAGCTTTGCCGCCCTTTAAAACAGAGACAAAAAAGCAAAGCCATATATACTATAACTAATATATTACGAAAACAATAGCAAACAAGCTTTGGCAATAATTAGGAACACTTCGAAAAATCAACGTAAAAAGAACTACACAATACTAAAATCTACTAAAATATTTACTATAATTTCAAGTGTCAAAATGGCGTCGATGAAGCAGCGCCTTAACCTGAGGAGCTACACAAACCATTTATGCAAAAATGACCATATTAACTGGATATTACCCTCATGTACTATTTAAGTTATTTATATTATTTAATTAATTCATAACTGGATGCAAAAAAAAAAAACTACTCGCACTGTTTTGAAAAGGTAAAATGTAGTTTGTTGTCATAGTTCAATTTATTAGACAACGGTTAAAACTAATTTAAGGCTTTATTAAAAAAATATATCAATCATATAATATAGAAGTTAACATTTAAAGGAAGCAAAATATATAACCCTCCTTTTTTGAAGTTTCGTTATCGGATAAAAAGACTATAAGTTAGACTCTAACTACCTACACTCAAATTTCTTGGAAATCGCTTTAGTAGTTTTTGCGTGAATCGTGAATACATTGACAGACAAACAGACCGACAGACAAAAATTCTAAAAACCACTAATTTGGCTTCAGTGTCCTTTATTTAGTCCCCTGGACTTGTTTTTTTCTTCAAAAATCAGCCCGTTTTCAGGTTTTCGTCGAAACTTATACAATAACTTATTTAATATAATTTTTATTATAGATCTCAAGACAGAAAGATACCTTTCCAGAGACCTCGGGGAGCTCAATATTTTTGAAAGGGAAACTTTCTTTTGGCGCTCAGCGTTATTAGCTAGGTACTTCATCAATTTAGTTCTTTGTAACTTTGGATGTAACTATTAAATTACCATTAGAGAAAAGCACTTGTAATAAAAAAAAGTTTTTACTTATATAGCTGTGTTTTTATATTTATGTTCTAGAGTATTTTTGTTTTTGGATTAAATAAAAATATTGTTTATTGTTTGTCTGTTTTTATTTGTGACATTTTTTTAATTACAACAATAATAATAACGTACAATATACATAAACTGACTACTGACTTCCATTTGGCACGATCTCTTTCGTCTCCATATTGACGTGACGTCTAATAAATCGATGAACGCCGTCTGCACGCACTAAAAAGGATGACTCGTTGTAACATTACCATCGAAGCGAGAGCGCAAACGAGCGAGCGAAAGGTACGGTCGGCTTGAGCGTCTTTGAACCATACAAAATAGTGATAATTCAATAAAAATGATTCAATTGTAGTCATAAAAGTATGCAATTATTTCATCAATGTTTTGTTATAACTTTGTCACGTTAAACTATCGTCCGTAAGCCGACTTTACAGACAACCAATTTTTTTTGATAAAACTGAAGTGACGAGCGAACCTACAGTCCGCTAGGTGGTGACTACTGGTCTACTGCATCCAAGGAAACCTGCAGCCAACTTCAACGAAAGAACGTGGTTGACGCGTTGCAACCCCTAGGACTAAGAATCCCTTCAGCCTGTAATTATACTGGCTCTATATACCCTTCAGACCTGAACGTACCAATGTAAGCACTGTTGTTTGGCGGCAGAAACGACTACCTATCTAGAGGACCCAGACAAACTCTTAACTAACAGCTATCACCAAGTATAATATATTATTGCGCGCCATAGTTGATGCCTGGTATATGGCACTAGCGCCATCTATTGTCGGGTAGCAGAGCGAGGAGAGCTTTCTACTAGTTCCGCTTTGTCTCAGTCTGCATCATGCTGAGCACGCAAAGTTGCGTGCTCAGCATCCAGTATAAAATAAAGTATTTCATGCCGGCACACCACCTGCAACTTTACAAGGCGCAGGTTCGGCCGCACATGGAATACTGTTCTCATTTCTGGGCTGGAGCTCCCCAGTACCAGCTCCTTCTACTTGACCGCATCCAGCGCAGAGCGGCTCGAATCGTCGACGACCGAGTGCTTTCCGATCGGCTCGATTCACTGGCACGAAGAGATGTTGCATCTCTTTGCATTTTCTTTCGCATATACCATGGGGAGTGCTCTGAGGAATTGTTCGGATTAATCCCAGCCGCCAAATTTCGTGAACGCACTACGCGACAAACGTTTCGATACCATCCACACCATCTGGATGTTTGGCGGTCGACCACTGTACGTTTCACAAGGAGTTTTCTTCCGCGTACGACCTTTCTGTGGAATAGTTTACCAACGGCGATTTTCCCGGACCGATACGACCTGGGGACCTTCAAGAAAAGAGTTTACACCTTTCTAAAGGGCCGGCAACGCACCTGCAATTCCCCTGGTGTTGCGGTTGATCATGTGCGGCGGTAGTCACTTAACATCAGGTGAGCCGCATGCTCGATTGCCCCCTCTTCTATAAAAAAAGTTCCATGCTAGAACTTTCCCACTAGCGCCATCTAGTATTGAGTGGCGGAACTTGGAAAGAACTTTCTACACCTAGTCATTACATCATTACGGCCCTTCACATGTCCACTGCTGAACATAGGCCTCCCTCAAGAAATGCCATAAAACACGGTCATCAGCCACCTGCATCCATCGACTTCACGCATGTCTTACCAGGTCGTCACTCTATCTAGAGGGAGGCCATCCTATTCAACTACCGACACGAGACTGCCACTTGAAACCTATTATTCCCATCGGTTGTCGGTTTTTCGAGATATAAGGCCGGCCTATTGTCACTTCAGCTTACCAATCTATTGAGCTATGTTGGTCACTCTGGTTCTACTGAGGATATTCTCATTCGCAAAGAAACCTCGAGCATATCCTTCTCCATAGCTCGCAGAGCGACCTTGAGCGTCCTCATACGGTCAACAGTGAAAGACCACGTATCAGACCCATAAGTCATCACTGGCAACACGCACTGGTTGTACAATCTCGTTTTCAAGTTTTGGGGTACACTTGACGGGAAGATGTCGTAATTTCACGAACGCTGCCTAGCCGAGTTGAGTCCGTCGATTGATCTCTCGGTCGAAGTTGTACTAACCTGATCGGACTGTTTGTCCCAGGTAAACGTACCCGTCTTACAACTTCGACAACTTCGAGCATAGTACTCCCAAATACTACCAGCATAGGTGTGACATGGACGTCACACATGATCCTTGTTTTTGTTTATCTAAGACCTATCTTGACTATCAATCTAGCGATGAAGAGTTTCGTGGATATGACGTCAACCTGTCTTACACCTCTCTGCAGTTGGATAGGTTTCATAGTCTGTTTCTGTACTCGGATAACCATCGTATAGCCTGTAGCCTGTGAAAGGACTGTAGCATACCCCTAGTTTCGACGAAATCAGAGGCTTTCTCATAGTTACAATATATAAAATACATAGAGTGCAATTTGCCTCTTTGCCTTGCGTATGTACGCGAAGCAAAGAAGGCAGATTGTACTCTTCGGTCTTCTGTCGTCGTCTTACAATTTGCCGAATATGTATGTAGCCTATGGTACTAAAGCATTTTCGTAAATCGGCTTGTACGGGAGGCTGGAAGTCGTCGAGTCCGCATGCGAGACGATTCGTAATGACTCTCGAAAACAGCACGTAGACGCCACTCAGAAAGGACATCGGTCTGTTGTTCTTCAAGAGAGCATTGTCACCTTTCTTGAAAAACAAATCCCACTGCACTTCTGCTCCACGCCTCCGGAGTAGTCCCACCATGGAGAACGGAATTAAAGAGCTCCTGAAGGACTGCAAGTACCGGTTTTCCACCTACTTTCAGAACCTCCACTGTAATTTCGTCCTCGCTTGCGGCGTTACCGTTTTTAAGGTGCTGAAGAGCCATTATAACCTCGCTCAAGATGACGTCCGGGATGTCATCGGATTAGTGTGGATAAGACCTGCTCATAGATTGTTGATTCAAACTACTTTTACGGATTTTTTCGTATAAATTTTTAATTTAAATGATTTTCAATTCCCGACGTTATGGGTGCTTTCCAGCTTCCATGGTCACGAGGGACTGAGGTGACTGAAGTCCCGATATCAATGTTAACTCGGAGTACCTTGAGCTTTTTTATTATTATTTATGGTCCGATATACGCAGAATGAACTTACTGTGTCTTGATGTCTTGCAGTGATATGATTGGGTTTATCTTTAATTTTATTGATTACTGGGTCCCAAGCAGGTGGTAGTACCCAGCCTCTCTTCTATTGAAATAGATTGGTTTTTGATTTCCCAGATCCCTGGTAGGAATCGATGTTCTTTCTAGGATTTGTGGTCTATCAAATCTGATGTAATGGTTGGGGCCACCTTGAATATGATTAAAAACTGCGAACTTCCCGGAACGTTGATGCTTCACGTCAGCTATATGTACTTTTACGCGGGTTCTAAATGATCTTTTTGTATGAGAATGATATAGAAAAAAATAAATGATGTAGAGATGAGAAATATCACACTTGACAAATCTAATCTCTAATATGTCTAATACGTCGTAGAGCCATGCTGCATTTATATTAGTAGTATAGTTGTAGCACGAATGGGTCGGCTTGACCGGGGAAGGACCACGCTCACAGAATACTAGCGTAAAATAGTAGCTTAATGCTGCTGTGTTTCGTGTGGTGAGTGTAGAGAACTGGAGACCCTTTTTACTGGAAATGCGGCATTCCATCTTAGTCCTCACGGGTGACAAACCATCTGCATTTTGATTTGTAATCAAGGATAGATGTGGATGTCTATGAGCCGCAGCAACCACTTACCATCAGGTGGACTGTGTGCTCGTTTGTCACCCTATCCTATAAAAAAAATCTTCTTCGATGGCTTGTAGAATATTCTAATAGAAGCTCGCTTTAAGATGTAGCCAATCTTGTCTGTGACACCTCTGACAGATGGTAGTAAAGCAGGCACACGCTCGACTGTGGCCGGCTTTACTCGGTCACTGTGACGTAGGCGCGGGACCCAAAGCTTGTTGTTGTGCAGAACCTGCTTGACGTGCTGAAGCTCGGCGGCCAGATGTTTACTGTCACAGATCCCTCGTGCTCTCTGTAACAAAGATTTGCCCGCGGTAGCTAACTGTGAAGGATGGTGGTGAGATTCACCATTTAAATATCGGTTTGTATGGGTCTTTTTTTCTATACACAGTGTGACCAATGGTGTTGTTAGGATTTCGGATGACTAACACATCTAGGAAAGCTAAGGAATTATTTGCCTCTAACTCCACAGTAAATTGAATTTTAGAGTTTATGGAATTAAGATGTTCTAAAAATGCAGTTACTTGTCTGATGGTAAAATTGTGAAAGTATCGTACCTCTTGTAAGTAAGAAGCGTACCTTGGCCTAACAGGTGCAGTAAGGAGGGCTTTCTCCTCAGTCTTTCATGAATATATCGGCGACAATGGGAGATACAGGTGAGCCCATCGCAACACCATCTACTTGCTTGTAAAACTCTTCCTTCCACAATATATAGCCAGATGTAAGGCAACGTCTGAGCAGTACTGCATATTCTGCTGGCATGTTATTTTCCTCTAGTTTCCTAGTTATAATTGAGATGCAGTCTTCAACAGGTAGGCATGTAAATAGAGACCGAACATCAAAACTGACCACGATTTCATTGTCAGTAAGACGTAGGTTTTTTATCCTACTGACAAAATGGTATGACTCCTTAGTGTGTGCTCTTATGTCCTCTAAGTTTCGATAATATTTTAGCTAAGTCTTGAGCCAATCTACAAGTTGGCGAATCAATCTGACTCACTGTTGGACGTAATGGACCGTTCGGTTTTGTGTATTTTTGGTAACCCATACAACTTCGGTGGTTTGGCACACGCAGGTATTATCGAATTAACTTCTATATTAAATTTTTCGGAGTGTTTCTTAATTAGATCGCTAGTTGTTTTAAGTGTATTAGTTGTAGGGTCTGTT